AAGCCAACAATTACAATAACTTGTGCAACAACTTGACTACCAAAACGATAAACCATTTGGACGACAAGCTCTCAATGACAGCTTAGATGAAATTTATGGGAAGGCTTTTTAGAAGAGGGAGAATGTTATATAATAGGAATTAATAAATTAAAATATTATATATTTTGGTAATTAATAGTAATATGTTTAAATTTTATATAACACTCATTCATTAAATTAATTCTGATATATTTAACTTATTCAAATTGTACAAATTATACTTTTATTTTTAGTTTTGCTTTTCGTTTTATAACTTAACCTTTTGATTTTATATTCTAATTTTAGTTTTGTAAAAATATATAAATACAAGATTAAAAAAGTAATAAAAGGAGATGAATTATATTTAGAAAAACCATAATTATTTTAGTATCTTTTCAATATAATAAATATAAATATTTTAGATAATAAATTATTTAGATATTTTCCTACAGAAAACCTTACTGGTCTTGCCAGTGGCGTAGCTACGGGGGGGGGGTTTTCGGGTTTAGACCCTTCCCAGAGCAAATTTTTTTTTAGATTATACGTTCAAAAGACTTAAAAGTTACTTTATATCAAATAAATACCATGAATATTTATATGATGTTCGTGGAAGGATAATATATTGAGATAATCTACTAAATTATAATAATTTATTGAGATAATCTACTAAATATAAAAATAAAATCATAAATTCAATATTAATTAATGAATAAAATTTAGATATAAATTGTAAGTAATTAGGGGGTATCAGTCATTGAGAATATGAAGCTGAGATAATTGGATTTTATTATATTGAGGGCTAATCTTTGGCGTAGGTAGTAACCCTCGTTGGGATCTTCGGTCCTAGTAGAGATCCGTTTCCCCAGCTCTTTAAAGAAGGCAAGGGCGTGAGAGCCGAACGATGTTAGAGTCGTGGCGATTAGTGGTAGGAATGTGTAATTGGCCGGAAGCGATGGCGAATATTTAGCGAGTTTATTCTTCTCGGCGTCTACTAGAGCATCTCTATTTATATTGGAAGGGGCAAGGGGATCGATGCATGAGAAATCCCAGGTTAGAAATTATTCCCTCTTCCAAGGGATCATGGTAGAGCCATCGGGACGCTTACCATCAGAATTGTAGAGTCCAGTGGGTTCTAGGGTTGATGGGATACCGGCAGATTTTAGGGCCCTGGCAATAGTATCATTGCATTTTGAATGTCTAATGAATCTGCCTCTACAGCGCTTGCAGTGTAAAGAGTGACGGCCTTTGGAGTTGACCGGCGTTTGACAAAGGATGCAGTGATAGGGTATTACCATATCACAATTAAGTCTTAGACCGATGGCGTGACGTAGCTCATCATTGCTTAGGAGCTGGTCAAGGTTTCGCGATGGAAAAGCTTCGAGAAATTCATACCCGCTGTCTGCGGAAATGGAGAAGAGTAGAGAATGGTCCTCGGGTTGGCTCCTCGATTTAAGGTATGCAACGGAGTTGCCAACTAGAGGCTTATCCCAGTCCTTCTGCAGTGTCGATGAGGGAGGATCGACTAATGAAAGAGATTTCCATAGATCAATTGCCTGTGGAAGTAAAGGGTCAGGATGTTTTGTGAGTGCGTGTATGATGGGCTCGCAGGACAGGCGAGAGGATATGAACGCACTAACAGAGAGTAGGGAAGGCGATCGTATGCCAATGCCGCCGGATTTGGTTGGCAAGGTAGCTTGTAGCCAAGATAGGTCTCCGAATTTGAGATTGAGTATATCCAGCGTCTACATGGCAGAAAATTTGATGGAGGCAAACCCCTCCAAAATCTACCCATACCCACCTAAAAAAATCCTGCGGCCTTCGGCCGCGAAATTTACAGACCTACGATGGTATAGTGATTTTATTTAAAAAATCTTATCTGCCACCATTTATAACCTTACAACATAATTCTATTTACAATCTTTCAAGCCTATTTAGGGAAAAAAAATTTAAAAATTTGTAAGTGATAATGAACTTTTATTTAAATAATGCAATCTTTTCATAATTTGGTATTCACTTTATTTTCATAAAATATATATAAGTGAATTAAATGAGATAACATATTTATATTTCTATGAAAAAGATCTAAAATATTGTAAAAAATATAAGACGAATAAATTTAAAGAGGTATATTTAGCTTGATTCCACATAATTAAAAACATGTATTGTAAATAGAGCTATTATATAAAATATTAGAATAAAATGAATTATAGTATATTTTGCATTGAAATTATAAAATGTTAAATTAAATATACATTATTTAAAAGCCTATATATTTGCTGTGAAAAAGATACATTAAATATTTTATTAATAATTTGGATAACCTTATTGATGTTAAAGCAAATTGTGTTATAATATCATCAATTGTAAATTTTTCAAAAACATCAATTTCGCTGGATATTAACAGTAAATTTTCCAAAAATGGGTCCGAAATTTTATTCCGCATTCGAGTTTTGTTAATTTTTACTTTACTCATGGCTCTTTCGGCTGAACAGGAAGTTGTAGGAAGGGTTAATAAATATTTATATAATAAATTTAAATTTGAATAAGAATTTAATTGATTTAAAAGTCGGTATGGTAATATAAAAGAAAATTTTATCCATTTTTTTATTTTGGTCATGATTTCGCTGTTGATATTTTCTTTGGTAATTTGATCGTTTGCAATACCTTTAATTATATACAATTACAAATAAAATATCAATAAATTACTTTCATCAATATATAACGCGTCATTCTTTTTAACTTTTAAAAGATCTTCGCAAAAAATGATTGATTGAGACTCCAAATATAAAGAGCGAAAATCATTATATTCATCAACAATGTTTTGGACATCCAATTGATAAGTATTACAAATTTCGGATATTTGCCATCCTTCTATTTTTTCATTATCCATAATTCCAGCGGGAGTAAAAATGGATATCTGTGATAAAAAATTTAAACAATCATAATTAAATCGATCATTTAGGTGATTAATTATTGCATTTAGAACAGGGAAAAATATTTCCGTTCTATATCTATAATAATAAATAATAATTTAAATTTTTTTAATTTATTCAACTTGTTTTTTTTTTGTTCAACATAATTATTGAATTCTGTTTGATCCAATTTGAATATTGATTTCATATTATACAAATCAGTTATTACATTATTCTTTTTCAAAAAACTATTAGATAAGGAATGTAATTTTAAAAATATATTGTCTCCATTAGCTATATTTTAAAATTATTTATAGAAATAGTAACTAATATTAACCTTTTAGTTTTTGTAATTTATTTTTTGTATGTTGTATTAATTTGGTTACCAAAGCCAAATCATTACCAACTGCCTGCATTTCAATACAAGCCTCATGTGTACATTTCAATATTTCTTTCAAAATAAAAAGACTTAATATAAAATTTTCATCTTTAATTCTTGATAATAACCCATCGGCAATGGAAGAGGTGCTTGGGTCATTAGAATCTTTTAATTCAACTAATGATGTTAAAATATGTTCATAAACATCTAAAAAGATTTCTACAGATTTGTAGGATGATGACCAATTTCTGAAAATATATAAGTTTCAAGTTTCATTAAAAATATTTTATTTACCTTGTTGTGTTTTTAATTCTTTTAAGAGATTTCTTGGACTTTCTCATTTGATATTTAACAAACACACCTTGACGTCTAACTCCATTCATAAAATTATATAACTCATCTAATATTCCCATTGCCTTTTTCATTTCAATTTTGCATCCACAAACATGAGCAACTACTAAATTTAGCCGACGTGCATGGCACCAAATATAGATGGCTTTTGGAGCCTCTTTCAATATTAAAGCCTGCATTCCTTTGTATACTCCTCTCATATTCCCTGCACCATCCATACTTTGTCCAACCAAATAATCAAGAGGAAGACCAAGATCATTAAACTTAGAAAAAACATGTTTCTTTATATTTTCCCCAGTGGTTTCTGATGTTGTAAAAACATGTATGATCCTTTCTACAGGATGTGGATGCAGATCATCTTCTATATACAGTACAAGCAAAGCTATGCATTCTTTTTTAGACACATCATATGTTCCATCTAATATGATGCTATAGGCACGATTCTCTTTAATTGTTTGAATAATGCTTTTTGTTATTTTTATCTTAATAATTTCAGTTATTTTTTTCACGTGGCCATATGACAGTAAATTTATATAAGGTCTCGAAATTTTATCTGATTCTTTTCTCCGCAATTTTTCGTTGTTATCCATGTATGCACGTAAAGTTGGAACCGTTTTTGCCATTAATTTTATGAGACACATAAAATTACCTTCATTCGAATTAGAACCCCAAAAGGCTATATTACATTTTATAAGGTACATAATGGCATTGATAATATTATGAACTATATTACGATTTTCCATGATTATATCAAGCTTATTTGATAGCAAATGATCTTGAATGCGTTTATTTGCAAGCCAAGTCATGTTTGCATATTCACAATCTTTATGAAGAGCTTCGTGTCTCTCTAAGTCACGCTTTATGTTTTTCCAATTATTTACCCCATGTTGAGTCCAAAAAGTATTGGACTTAGGGCCACCAAACATAATACAATATAGACAAAAGACTTTGTCTAAAGTAGTGCTATAAGATAGCCAATTTCTGGGGTTGAGGGAACCATCTATATTATCATTTCTATAATAGGTTATATTCATGCTCCTGTTTAAAAAGTAAAAAAAAATATATTGGTATAGAAATAATGGATGGGTAAAAATTAATGAAAATAAATATTATTTAAAACCTCTTGTTAGTAACAGGATATTGAAATTTATTTGTACATGGCTGACAAGGGCCTATAGCAATTATGAAATTTATCAAAATATTTGTCATCCTAAATAATATAAAGTGAAAAGGGTCATTTGGTTCCTTTTTTTGTATAGCTGAATAAGACTTGGACTTTGAATATCCTCATAATTTATTCCCTTCAAAAGTCATTATATAAATTTTATTTAAATATAATGCCTCATGCAAAGTAAGTGCCTAACTAGAACCGGGAATTGGATGAGGAGATAATACAATTTGTGAATCTTCAATATTGGAGATTTGCTATAAATAAAGAGTATAATTTGTTTACTTATGAAAATCTATTTTTAATATAATTTCAGCCAAATGGTCATTTTATTCTTAGCTACATTATAATTAAGTTAATCAATAAATGTTGGGAATATTTAAATGTCCTAATTTATTTTCTTCAAAAGTTATCATATAATTCGTATTTAAATTAAATACCTCATCATGCAAAGTAAGCGCCTCACTGGAACTGGGGATTGGATGAGAAGATAATACAATTTGTGAATCTTCAATATTGGAGATTTGCTATAAAGAGTATAATTTGTTTACTTATGAAAAACTATATTTTTAATAAAATTTTAGTCAAATGGTCATTTTATTCTTAACTACATTATAATTAAGTTTTTAATAAAGGTTGGAAATATTTAATTAACCTCATAATCATAATTTATTTCTTTCAAAAGTTATCATATAATTCGTATTTAAATTAAATACCTCATCATACAAAGTAAACACCTCACTGGAACTGGGGATTGGATGAGGAGATAATACAATTTGTGAATCTTCAATAACTGAGATTTTCTATAAATAAAGAGGAGTTTAATTTCTTTCCTTATGATAACTATATTTTTAATAAATTTTTAGGCAAATGATAATTTTTTTTAACTACATTATAATTAAGTTTTTAATAAATGTTTTAATTCTACATGAATACATGATTGAGAAAACAGGTATTAAAAATATTATGAAGTCCAACATAAAGTTATCAGGTTACAATGGAAAGATGATACAAGTAATAGGTAAAGCACAAGTGAATGTAGAATACAAAGGGAATTCACATATTTTGAACGCAATAATCATAAACATCAATATGACTTTGTTAGATCATGTAAAAACATTTTTAAAATATACTTGAAAGATTCATAGGCATGATAGATGCAGATTAATATAAAACTGCGATCACATGAAGAAATCATAAAACAATATTATAATGACTATAAAAATAAAAACAATATTAGGTATAAATAAAATTGTGAAATTCATGATGAAAGTATATTATCTAAAGAAATTCTAATAGCTAAATAAAACAATGATAATAAACATACCTAATATAACACATAATGTAAATAAAGGGGATGAAACTCACACAGATAACATTTTGAAAATAGTTGATTCCAAATCATATTTTATAAGATTTATATTTAAAAAAAGTAAAATAATTTGAAGTCTTAATTCAATTAAAGATGAAAAGATTTAAATTTAAAAATTCCTAGAAATTAACATTACCTTATTTTACTACATTATATTAACTTAATAAGTTTTTTTAATACTTTGGTTTTAAATTATTATTATTAACTTATTAAACATATTGTTAAATTGAACTTTATAAAGTATATATAGATATAAAAATAGTGTGATAAACAGTTAAAAAACATTAAATAATAATATATATAATTTATTTTCTCTATACCCTGACTACTTTAATATTAATATTATTCTGGTAAAATTTTAAATCAGTTTCTATTAATTCACAAATTTATAGTTACAATAATAAATAAAAATATTACTTTTTGGAAGTAAGATGTTATTGTCTTTTTTTGCAACTGGGTTTCAACTCCATTTGTGATATTATATGGAATATCACAATTTAAAGATACCCAATTATTATTATCTCTTTTGATGGCTACCTTTGTAAATTTCATATCAGCTGGCTTGACATGAGGATGTTTATGTTTATAATGTTCATGTATCTTGTCACTTCTTATTTTAGAAGTTTTGCAATTTTTAATATTGCACTTAACTTTAAATATGGTTTTGTTACTTGGCATCTAGAAAGAAATAATTATTATAATAAAATTTTTTACATATTATGTTTTTTATTATTCTTTGCTTGCTGATATATGTTTTTATGCATGACTCAAAAAATTACCTAAAATTTATCCTGCTAAAATCTATAAATTTATTAAAAAACATAATATAAATATATTAACCTTTAAGAAAAGTACCAAATAGGAAATGTGTAAATATTAACTTGATAAAATGCTAAATGAAAATCGTTGACAAAGAAAATTTATATTATTTATTAATTGACAAATATCTTTACTTTAATTGACATTTTTCAGAAAATCAAACGATAACCATCATAATCGTATCAATTAATGGATTAAAAAAAAATTATAATTCAAATCAAAAATTACCCACCAAAAATCAATACCTACCCCCAAAAAAATAATGCCTACCCCCAAAAAATTAATATCAACCCCTTAAAATGGATACCTACCCCCAAAAATGCTAAAATATTTTGGAGGCATTTGTCTCCTACCCCCCCCCCCCGGCCATGTAGACGCTGAGTATATCCTCTGTAAGGTGTTTAATCTCTAGCTCGTGTGCAGCGAGGTTGACGTCGTATTGGAAGATACGTGACGATCGGAGTGTATATAGAATTTTTGGGATTAGGAGGTAGTTCTTTAATAGAAAAAACGCTTGGTGGGCTGGGAGGCGAGATAGTGTACCGCGCATAAGGGATATCTCTAGTAGAGTGTCGGCGAAGAACTTGACAAAGGACTCGTCTTTACCCACTGGAGATCCGAGATGTGTTAAGAAGTTCAATGGTGTATGATTGAACATAGGATCATAGTTAAGGTCGATGATTCCAAGAGGACAATATTCGCTCTTGTCTTGATTGATTCGCAGTCCCAAACTGCTCTCGCTGGATTTTATTATTTCGACCGCCTTCATAACTTCGCTGGGTGAGCCGCCTAGTATACCATCGTCGATATACCAGTTATGAAGGTTTAGTTTACATTGGTCATTTATGCTTTGTATTAGGCTATTAATGCCCAGACTGAATAAGAAGGAGCCTAGAGGGTCACCTTGTTGTATTCCACTACTAGAAGGAATCAATCTATCTCCAAATTGAAGATGCGATGGACTAGCATAACAATCGAAGATGAATTGCGAGTATTCTGGGTAAAGGGTAAGGATGGGATTAAGAAACGCTGTACGTTTTAGAGAGTTAAAAGCGTTTGAAAAATCTATCTTAATTAGGATATCGTCACTGGGGTCTGTTTGTAGATACATTCTGGTCATGTGTAAGGATACCTCGCATCCCCCTTTTACGTTGACTCCTAATTGATTAGGGCACAGGTGATTAAATACTGTGAACAATATTCTGCTCACTACTAGCTTTGCGGTTAATCGGCGCCAAGTGGTTCCAATAGCGATAGGGCGAATATCTTTATTAGGTTTGTGGAGGGCGATGAGTTTAGCTCCATAAAGGAGTGGAATAATGGCGGGTGGTAAGCCTCCAGCAAGCATACTGTTGATGAGTTGAGTAATTTTTTCCAAAACGTCGCATTGTTGTGTGATGTAAGGTGCGGTTAGATCCTGTAGGAATATTGGGCGAAACCCATCAACCCCCGGTGAAGAATCGCGTTTGAAGGAGAGAATAGCCTTTCTAACCTCGCTTGAGGTAAAAGTGGTTGCAATTAGAGGAGCTTCGGGGTAAGACGGTATTTCGTCCTTAAGATCGTGTGGGTGGTGTTTTAGGAGAAGAGCTTGATAAGTTGTTTGATCGTAAGGAGCTAGATTATTGTCAGATGTTGCCAGTCGTATGGCGGATTTAACATTCAGGTTATCCAGCTTTTTAGATATAAGCTTGGCCTTGGTGAGTAGGTCATTTTTGTGATTTTTATTTTTATCAGTGTCATCACCTTTAAAAGATGTGGAAAAGTGATTGATGGGTAAGGGGTAGATAGTAGCATCCTTGATTTGCTGTGTCAGAGATTTTTTTACTGGCAGGATCAGGAACTTGCAAGGTAGTAAAGGCAAATGACAGGGTGTCTAGCCAGTGTTTTATGGAAGAATAATTATTTATCAAGGAAGTCAAGTTCTTTGAGAGGTGTTTGGCAACTTGAAGTCTTGCTCCCTTAGGTATACGTGAAATCACAAATGGTTTTGGTGTGACTAGAAATATTTCTACATCTGTGGAGTCGGTTGGATTGAAAGTGAGAGCATTTTCGGCGGTTGAGGTGGGGACTATTGGGCTAGTAGGCACATCAGTCAACGTGGGAATGGTAACTATAGGTTGTGCGAGGGCAAGGGCAGAAAAGGCATTTAGTGTTCGAGGGATAGCTGGTGATAAGATGGGAAACCCAGATTGAGGACATTTTATCTTCTGGTTTCGATGAGATGGCAATAGCCCCAATTTGGTTACTTTAACGAGTTTATTACATAAAGGGCAGTTAGATTTGGTAGAAGCTGTGCTGAGGTCTGGTAAGCTCATTAATTAAAATTTTTTTATCAGTTTAAGAGTGAAAATGTTGGATATTATTGTTATCTTCAAATATGGGTTTCTTGTGGGTTGGTATATTAAGGAAGTTTAATGAGTTATTATTTTCTGTTGGCAATTATTTTATTTTTTGTAAAATATTCAGTTTCTCTTTCTGCTTTTATAGCAATATTAGCTTGCTTTAAAGGATTTGAATCAATAGTATAATTAGATAAGAGATTAAATGTCTTATCCTTTTCAAGTGTGAATATTGATTGTGGCAATTATTTTATTTTTTGTAAAATATTCAGTTTCTCTTTCTGCTTTTATAGCAATATTAGCTTGCTTTAAAGGATTTGAATCAATAGTATAATTAGATAAGAGATTAAATGTCTTATCCTTTTCAAGTGTGAATATTGATTGTGTTTTGTGCATTTAAATAAAATGTTTGGATGACAATTTTATATTAGTCAACAGTTTTTGGTATAAAAAAGGGTAAATTGTAAAGATTGGTAAGAATGATAGAATTGATAATGTAGAGTGTTTTGTTGGGAATAATATAAAAGAACTTGTTGGTTATTAATTGATGTATAATAATTGAGGATGATTGGTAATCTAAAAGTAAAGGAAATATTAAAGGAAAAAGTATTTACTTAAATTTTTTGTATCATTAATCTACAATTAAATTTTGATATATTGGAATTGTATAGAATTCATTGATGCAAAATTATGAAAGAGGACTGAATATTTTGGATGATAAAATCATTTTTATGTCAGGTTGTGGTATTGGCAGTGGTTGTAGTGTTGGCGGTGGTTGTGGTGTTGGCAGTGGTTATAGTGTTGGCAGTGATTGTAGTGTTGGCAGTGGTTGTAGTGTTGGCAGTAGTTGTAGTTTTATTGTTAGATTAATCAGGCGTAGCTTTTATGATTTTTCTAAGCTTGCAATTTGTTTATTTTGAAATTGGATATCTTGCTGAGATCCACTTATTAAATTGTTAACATATTGCTGGATTTAATTTTATAAGGTTGGGTGGCAACATGATGATACAAAGGATATTGATTGTGTTTTGTACATTTAAATAAAATGTTTAATTGACAATTTTATATTAGTCAACAGCTTTTGGTATAAATAAGGGTAAATTGTAAAGATTGGTAAGAATGATAGAATTGATAATGTAGAGTGTTTTGTTGGGAATAATATAAAAGAATTAAATTTTTTGTATCATTAATCTACAATTAAATTTTGATATATTGGAATTGTATAGAATTCATTGATGTAAAATTATGAAAGAGGACTGAATATTTTGGATGATAAAATCATATTTATGTCAGGTTGTGGTATTGGCAGTGTCAGAGTTTTACAAAAATCTTCAAATAAAAATTTGAAGATTTTTTTCGCCCAAAATTTTGAGGAAAAAATCTTTGAAGATGAATTTTTTGCGAAGATTTTTTCGCTAAAAAAAATTTTGAACTTGCTCAAAGAAGATTTTTGAGCAAAATAAAAAATATTTTTTGTAAAAAAATCTTCTATAATTTTGAGAAAATATTTTGAGAATTTTATAATAAAATAAAATCTTTTGTAAGGAAATCTTTATTAAAACATTATTGAAATTTTGATCTTAAAATTTTTTGGTAAATTCTTTAAAAATAAAATTTTTGATATATATTTTTTTTTTATTTTATGTTAATGAAAATATTTTTTTGAATAGGTTGTAAATGTGAAAATTGGTCATAATACCGACTGCATTTTTATTAATATTTGGAATAAGTAATAATGATTATTTTAAAAATATTATGTCATAATTTTAATGTTTTATATTTAATGTAAACTATAAAAGTGACAATTGTCATAATACTCATCTCAGAACCTTTAAAGATAATTATAATTAAAAAAGGCTAGTAGAGCATGTTTTGAGATGGTTTCAGTGATTGTAAAGTATATAAAGGTGACAATTGTCATAATACTTATTTCACATATGTTTTAATTGAAAATAGAGAAAAATGATTACTTCAAACATGAATTAATATTTAATGTGTAAACTATAAAAGTGACAATTGTCATTATATTCATATCAGAACCTATAAAAATAATTTTAGGTATTAAATAGGCAAGAAAAAATTTTTTGAGCATGTTTCGAGATGGTTTTAATGATTGTAAAAATTGTCACAATCGTTATTTTTGAACTTTTTTAAAGCAAGTAGATAAAAATTTATTAAATATAAAATTAAATGTGGATGTACCATAGAAAAGTGACAATTGTCATAATCGTTATTTTTAATCTTTTTTGAATTTTTTTGAAGCAAAAGGGTAAAATTATATATTGTAAACATGTTAAATTAAAATTTCAGTGAAGATGTACCATAGAAATGTGACAATTATCATAATTGTTATCAGAACTTTTTTGAATTTTTTTAAAGCAAATAGGTAAAAATATATATTGTAAACCTGTTAAATTAAAATTTCAGTGAATATGTACCATAGAAAAGTGACAATTGTCATAATCGTTATTTTTAATCTTTTTTGATTTTTATTGAAGAAATTATATATTGTA